TTTTGTTTTAAGTTTCTTTTAACTAAACTCGTGGCCTGTGGCATGTTTAGATTTGTCATTTTCATGGAAAGTTAATGTTTTTAGTGATAGTAATAAAACATTTTCTGACATAATATTATTATAATATCATTAATAGAATGCATTTATTTTATACGCATCACGTGGTCCGTGACTCGGATGATCAGCCGCAGTTGTGCCCTTATCATATAGATAACATATAGTGTTCGCGATGTCGTGCGTGTACCGTATTGTTCTGTGGTTTTGTTTTATATGTCTGTTTTATCAAGGTCAGCAGTGGTACGCCGCTGGAAAAACAAGAATTCCTGGTCACCGCATCACCAGACCCACATCCGCGGGTCACCTCGTCGACGACACCGTTCCGGTTTTTGGAGGCCGCGCAGCGTGTGACCGCGGCACTGACGCGGGACACGGCCCGGGTATCGGACAAAGTGCTGTGGAGCATTGGCAAGATGCTGCTGTCGGCCGGCGAGTCTGTTAACTACGTGTTGGACGCGGCACTCAAGGCATCTGTGCGGCTGCTCAAAGCCGGTGGCGCGGCGTGCGGCTCGATTGCCGAACGGTTGGCCCACGTCCCGGTCATCGGGTTCGGTGCGTCCGGCGTCCACGAGGCGGTCGGCGTGGCGGTCAACGCGGTGGCCAGCAACGTGGACCACGATTCGCTGGTCCGGAGCCAGGCGTTCGCCACGCTCAACGCCAAGCTGAACGAGAGCGGCGCCCGACTGCGGCCGGCCACCGAYGAGGCAGGCGCGCCGGCATCAGCGACCACGGTTACTGGCCAACAGCAAGGCTCGGTATCGTTTTTTCCAATCGGATAACACAGTCACACGTGCCAAACTGACATGAAATATTCAACAACATTGTAGGCTTTCTCTGCATCATGCGCATGTGTCACAATAATATGTTAAATACGCCAGCTAAATGTCTCGTGCACCACACACGTACTCAACTCCAATGCTTTATTTTGGAAAACAAAGTCATATGGCTACTCTGATCACTTCTGATAACTAAATGAAAATTGTGTTCCTCAGCACGTTCAATATTATTATTCACGTATTACTTACAGTCATATTATTACATTTCGTTATACATTTTTTTTCAAATTTATTTTATTTTATATTAATTATTAATTTTACAAACCGCGAGATATACACGGCGAGCGCGATTTTAATGTACATAATATATTATATATATTATATCTGTGTATGGCTATCATGTACGTCTATGCATTTCACAAACACAAACAATATATATTGTATAATAACACGCAGTATCATTTTCGGGTTCGCTTTATCGATTTCCATTATATATTAATATATTATTATGCATTAATAATTAATATNTTTTTTTTTTTTTTTTGACAGGGTTTTAGTGTACCTATATCGTATTATATTATTAAGTGTTATAACTTATAACGAAACAGATACCTACTTTTAATTCAGATTTATTTTTATTTTTTATTCAAACCCACCAATGATGGTTTTTAGTTTTATTGAACTTTCAATACTATAAAAACCTTTTTTTAACTAATCACACAAGTTTATTTGCACTGAAATGGTATTTTGGAATTTTTTCCGAAAAAATAGAGTATTGCCTTCTTAAATTCCTATACATTAGGTAGATACCTAGCCAAAATTTTGTACAAACCACCAAACCTTTATGCAAAAAAACATAGAAAAGGTTTTTATAAGCGCAATAAATAGCATTTATATCTAAAAAATTAATTTTGGTTCTACCTTTATCTTCTTGCACAACTATACTTGGAAACAATTCAACCTCTGTTAAACTTATGCTTCACAATTACAATGATTATCACTTTAAATTTTGATGTATCCAACCCAACTAGGCACTAGCTACTGTACATAAGGTTATCAATTGGTAATTTCTTTTTTTCAATATTTGAATTAAGAGTCAAGCAAAATGAAATGTAATATATATATATATCATTATAAATTGTTATTTTATTAAATAAAAACATACCGAAATGATGAAAAAGCATGGATTATACATGTTATCATTATCAGGTTATCAGATAAACAGGGTAGATGAAAACAAAATAAAATATAGCCAATCACGAAGTAATTAACATTAATTCATAAGCCACAACTTATACTGTAGGTAGTATGATGTTCTTATATTTTATATCTGTACTGTAAAAACTCACCTAAGTATAAAATAAACAAATTATATAATGAATTATTTATAAATATTAGATCAATTAATAATGATGGTTCTTATAGGAACCATTGACGCTAAGATCAATTTTTATGTGGTATCTATATAGGTACTTTATAGGTAAAATATATTTATTTACAACTGTAAGTAAAATGTGTATATTCGTCTCAAATTTAGCCTATTTTAGTGAAATAACAAAATGCATATCTAATATAATATACAATATATTATACAGTAGCTTTTGAACACACTCCGTGGATTAGGATTTTATGAGAAGAATTCAGGACGACGGCGTATACAAATTCGATATTGTTACTTAATTGCCTTATTATGAACATTATGTTTTATTGTTAAAATTTGAATCCATGATTTTTGAGGTCCTTAGAGTTTTCTAGCAATTTAAGAGCTGTGTAAATAAAAATGTTTGAGGACCGTTGTAATAGTATGTACATTGTACACTGTAATTTATGAAAATAAGATAATACGAGTATACTATAATTTACATGTTGTAATCATATTAATTATATTTCTAGTTTCTATTACAAAATATAAGGTATTTTAAATTATTTATATAATTATAAGCTATTTTCTATTGTCTATTAAATTAAATTTGAATTGATTTATTTATTATAGTATCTAAAAAAATAAATCAGCTATTTTTACGATATTTTATTTCTAAAGAGCTGTAATTTTTGTATCAATAATATAGAATAAAAAATAAAACACTACATTTTATCTGTAAAATAGTTTTGTATTCTGTATCATATTACGACCGGCTTTGTCTGAGATCCAGTTAAAATTTGTATGGTGAAATGAATTAGTTAATAGTTGAAATGCAGCAATTATTTATTGAATAAAACACAAGTTAAAATTGAATAATACAATATTTGCTAGATGTACGGAGCTCAACAGCTATGGTACATACTGCATTAGCCTATGCTGTACTACGGACTCCCTTTCATATGATGTCTCCATCTTCATGCCTTATACTAATCTACATTTTACCATCTATGTTGCTCTTAATATTGTCTTTCATATTTGAGAAGTTGTTAAACAAAAATGCTTATGTACCTGATACTATTCGGTCCCGGATTTGCATTCTTCGATCAACTACTGCATAACTTAAAATCGTAAAGCATTTTTACGTCTTATCGAGGTAAAAATGGTAATTTATGTAGCGAAACAAACGTATTTAAATTCAAAGTAACGAGTATAGTTAAATTTGTCGGTTCATAACAATCGTTTTATTTGATACCACTTACCTAGTTAAAACAGAGACACATAAGTTTCTTGTTTTTAGTTTACCATCCGATTGTTACTGCTGGGAGACTTTTCTCTTCACGTCTCCATATCATGTATATATATATATTTTTAACACATATGCTTATTTTAAAAATCATCATAGATTGTATATAATCCAATAAACAAAATTTTTCCTATTTTCAACAAAATTAAGTACCTATACTGAATAATATTAATGTCTTTGTTTCCATATTCACATTATGCGCACTAAAAATATGATTGACAAAGTTTACAAAATCATATGAACGATAATTCAATCAAAAATGAATTAACATAACATAATAAATTACATTACACAATTACACATAGATTTACTATTTTCTTCGTGCATATCGTATTCTAAACATAGATAAGGATTAAATTATAAAATAGGTAACATGCGTAACAATGACAATATTCTTTATTTTAAAATCATAAACCATTCGCAAGTAAATGAGCGATGTTAAGTTAATAAAGGTTAGAAGTATCGGAAGTTTAATACCTGCATAATAGATTATTATTATCTTACAAAAACCAAAATGTAATGCACAAACGGTGTACACTGTGCAGTGTRCACTGTCCGTTAGTTATGACGCTACTACCAGAAAAGAGTATAACAGAAGGGCGATGAAGTCACTCAAGCGACGTTTAAACTATCGCTTATTTTTCTATATATCTACCTATAGTGATAATACATTTTATTTCAGTGTCTCGGCTTCAACGCAGATGGGGACAAAGATAATAACTCCAAAATGAATGACATAAATTAAATTATTTAAAGACAACTAAATTCCTGATACAATGATTAATAAACAACGAATTATGGAAAATTAAAATTAACATTATCAATAATAAATTGTAATTAATTTACATTATGTAACTTACTAACTTTTAAACTTTTAAAGGAACTATATAATACAATTGATTTGACTGTTCTTAATTACTGCAAATAACAAGTGATAAGTTATAATATATAAATCTGCTGCTAGTTGTGATGCCTATTAGTGCATTTCGTGGAGTTTTTTTAAAACTTTTACGATACAATTATCATGGAATTAGATCCTTGAATTCATGTATATATGCATAACCTATAACTTAAGATTTATCGACTAATAATTATATAGTAGTTTTATAAATGTACAATTTATAGAAACATCATATCAATATTAAAAATGCAAGTAATTAGTTAGTTCTGGATATGATATAACATTATATAACATCATTGTTCTACTTTTAGAAATTATATTACATGTAATGTCTGAAAATTAATTGAAATTAAATTGAGCTATTGTGGATGTATAGGTAATTAAATTTACCTGGTATCCAGAAATATAATAGTACTAAGCATAGTACTAAAAAAATGCATTAATATTCAAAAAAAAAAACTATATAATGYACCTATAACTATATTGTATATGTTTTTCCTTAGCCAAAAAATATCAATACAAATTTGTATACAATATTCTAAATTCTTCTCTTTGTGTACAAATAAATTTAAATAATAAATATGTGAATGACAATAATTACAATCAACTTATTTTAAGAGCTATATATTTAAAAAGTGACCAATATAATATGAATAATAAATAATAACCTGTAGAATATGAGTAGGTATCTAATGATTTAAACCGTTTGATATATTCAAATAAGATTACAAGCTCTCTGATATTGTAGAAGTTCGGTCAATGTAAATTTCTTAAAGTCTGAGGAGTCCGTAAGTTCCCATAATTCGTAGAGCTTGAGAACCAATCTCTTGTCTCGTACTTTCTTATATCCTGGAATAGCGCTTGACAGATTTTTCGAATGGTAAAATATTTTTATCTTGCATTTCAGGTTGGTCGTTGTTCACCTGACGACTCTTTGTCATCAACTTCCGATGCGAACAACACAGACACCGATCCAACCACCACAGGCACCACCAATCAATCATCTCCTGAACAAGATAGCAAACCATCAATGTTCTCTAAGTGTGCATCGGAGGCGTTCAAGTCCGTATCGACATTGAGCGATGGCCTGAGTTTGGTATTGAAGGCAACCGGCCAGGCCGCGTTAACCGTGATAGGCGCCTTGTTCGGCACGTATAACAGCTTAATTTCAGTAACCTCAAAAACGGGTGAGACGGTGGCAGCCGGTTTAGGTTTGGTGGATAACGTGGCTAGCAGAGTAGTACTGGTAAATAGCATGACTGGTGGAGTGTCTAAACTGGCCACTGGCTTKTCCACCATGTTCAGCGAAAACTCGAAAATAACCAGCGCTAATCGTGAGAAGCTGTTTGACCAAATGGATAAGGAACTAGAGGGCTACCATCCTGAATCCAAGCCACTTCCAACAGTGCCCTCAACCGACGA